AGTGTGAGTAATAAAGTTTCCATAAGAGCTCAGTCTGGGGTACACATAGTTGTTCTCATCCGGATACCGAGCAAAGGAGAAGACTAGCAGTGAAGGCAAGAGTACAAAAGATCACAAGTAACACAAATGTGGGTAGCAGATCTCTTGGGTTCAATTCCTAACACTATCACTTATGAGCTGTGGGACCTTGGGCAAGATAACTTTCTGTGATGCTATTTCCTCAGCTTTCATATTGGAATCATGATACCCACCTGTAAGAGTTGGTTGGGAGTATTACAGAGAAGAATTAAAATATTTAAAATACTTAGACTGGTGCCTGGAAGGCAGTAATGGCTATGTAACTGCTAACTCATTGTTATTATTTACTAATGGTTCTGACTTACCAAGAGAAAATGTGGTATTGTAATCCTTTTCTTGCCTGGCCTCAGAGACATATAGCTCCCACCGGCAATCAGTTTGACTAAGGTATACTCAGACACCTGCCAGCTATTTGTGTCCACACACACACTCAGGTAGTAAGCGCGAGAATCTGGAGTCATTCTATTGGGGCAATAGGAGCCTCAAAGACAAGGTTGAGGCCGACTATATTCAGCTGAGTCGCTAAGCCCAGTGTTGGGTGAACCTGAGGTGACACCCAATTAGAAGCTTACTGGCATCAGAAAGGCATCAGAGGGTCAGTTCTACGCCAGGCTGTAAAAAAGATACACAATTGTATATCCAAATGGGATACGGGGAGAAATGAGTTTAGCAACTGAATCAGTTCATGAGATTTGTGTAAGATACTAAAAGCTGTTGAAAAAGAGACAACTAAAAAAATTAAAAGTGGGGGCAAAATTTAGAGGAGATCTACAATGGAACAGCCAAAATGCTGGAGGAAAAGCAGAACCCTAATCTGGAGTAAAGTCGAATTAAAGACCAAAAAGCAATAAAATGTCCCATAGAGAAATGGGAGGAATAAGGCCCCAAGAGCTAATATAAAAATTTATTGAGCAATTTATTGCTGTATTAATTGTCTGTCACTGGCCTAGCAGCGTATCATAACGGATTTTGAAAAGGCATACTGTGGGTTTTGACAGTAGCTTATATCATAGCAAACCTCCTTCAAACCTGTACATGTTATGATACTTTAGAAAGGTCCTAAAGTTCATGAGATAGTCCATTCATGTGAGAATTGCACTAACCAAATATCACCTTACCACATCTAATTTATCTCTACCACATAACCCCATCAGATTCTCAAAAAGGTCTGATCCCCCAGCAAAGGCTTAGATCCCCCAGCAAAGGCTTAAATAATTTCCAACAAAGACACTGAGGGGCTTAAACAAAAAGTAAGTCATTTTAAAACAAATGACTTTTTAACTCCTTGTTTAGAAAAGAATGGGCCAACATTCATGATTTATTCAGGGACATTTATTTAACCACCTACTATAAGCCAGGTACTGTAGATACAAAGACTAAGAAGATAGGATCTGGGCCCCAAGGGACTTACAGTGTGTGGGGGGTGGATACAGGCATGTAAATTAGTAAGGATAATAAAATGTTACAGGTTCTATAACAGAAGTATGTCGATGGTAAAAGAGGACATAAAAAGAGAGAGTGATCAATTCTACATGGGTAGGGGGATCATAAAGTCTTTAGAGAGAAGGTGACCCTTTAAAAAATAAATGCAGCAAATCAGGATGTGAATACCTATTATATTTAAAAATCACATACATATAATTTATTCTTCATTATAAAAAAAGTGACCTCTATATAGGAATGGATAGGTAAAAACATATTTTTACAATCCCTCTCTTTTCAGGAATGCTCCACTAGCCTCTTTGGCAATTGATGATAATTTATTTGTCATGCTAGGAGTCAACAGTCAAACATATAATTTGTAATTGGCTCAGTATATAAAGCAAATTAAGACAAAAGTTTTATTTTCTATTGTATGTGAAAATCCTATTCATGATTTGAGTGCACATATATCTGTCTGAATATTATTCCCATATACATTTTGGTAGTTACCTATCACTCTTAGAAATTCTTCCTCCTAGACATGAACAGCCACCCATATTTAAATCATTTAAGGGATAGTTATTTTGAACAAGGTTACTTGGTAGCCGATGAACTGAAAAGGTAGAGGTGTGAGTATTAGAAGGAAAACTTCAGCTAGAGGTATCCAGCCTTCTGATGTGCACAACATGAAGGGATGTGGACCACACGCTGATCTCTTCAGCCATTCACTCTTGCAGAAAGTCAAGTCTTCTGAGCCCCATCTTGCAAGAATTCACTTTTTACAAATAAATTCAGTTCTGGTCACTGTGATCAACCAGTGCTAAAATTTCATCTTTGTTAGGCAATCATTTTGGCCTCCATGCAAGTAAGCCCCTCTCCTGACTCCTCATCTTAGGAACATGAAGTAAGTACCTAGTCTATTACTAAGTCAACTCATCCAAACCTCTGAAGGCAGTCTTTGAACATCTTCTAAGAGAAGTGTCTTTATTATAAATTCCCACAGTAGTGTTTACATCCTCCACATGGCTCACAAACACTCCTATGCATCTTTAGTGGATCAGCTCAAGTTTTCCTCTGCCTCACTTTAATGGCCACTGCATCACACCTCTACTCTTCTCTCCTGAAATGTATGAAATAAAAAATAAATCCAGACATAGCAAGAGAGACTTTATTTGAAAGAATTATTGCAAGGAAGAAGGAGTATTATGATCACCACAATAGATGGATTGGACTACTGCCAGAGGGAGAGCACTTTGACCATAAGATCTTCAAGTATGTCAAGAATTAGGCAAAAATAGTTTTTCTTTTACAGGAAGATATAAACGAGGCTAGAAAGAACCTGATATGCAGAAGTGGGATGAAAGGGTGGCATAATTGTACAGTAGATCAGAGAATGTTTTACTGGGAAGCCAGCCTATTCTCAGGAGGAGGTATTCTATGCTGGCTAAAGTTCAGGGGGAAGGAGAGAACCTTAATCACAGTTTGGTTAATAAACATGTTTTTCCAATTGATCAATGGGGACAAGCAGTTCTGATAGTCATTTGTGAGGTAAAGAATGGAAACTTGGGGCGCCTGGGTGGCCTTGATCTCTGGGTTAAAAGCTCCGACTTCGAAAGATCTGGCGATCTCCATGAGTCTAGACGAGTTGAGAGCCCAGCGTCGAGGCTCTGGGCTGATAATACAGAACAAGGAACCCCTATTTCCATTCTGTGTCTCTCTCTCTCTCTGCCCCTCCCCCGTTCATGCTCTGTCTCTCTCTGTCCCAAAAAATAAATAAACGTTGAAAAAAAAATTTAAAAAAAAAAAAAAAAAAAAGAATGGAAACTTGGGAAGGTGGGCACTGGCCGTGTCATAGATAAACAAAGGGCGTATCTGTGCCTCTTATCTAAGTCATGTGGTGAAGGGTAAATTTTTTGTTTTTTCTTTTTGCAGTAAGCTGTTTCCAGAACCCAAAGGGTGGGGGGTTTTTAAAACTTTGTTGTTTTCCATGATCCCAGGACTCAGGTAAAGTTCAACATTGTCGATTGACATTAATCAAAGACAAGTTGACATTGGGCGATGCTACTAGGAAATGAAGGTTTTAGTATGATGTTGGAGTAAGTCAAAAACTCTGTGTTCCAAGTGTTACCTAGATACTTCTAATCTAGGTAAACAGAATCATGATTCAAGCCAGGTAAGAATTCAATAAGAAGACTGGGGGCTAAATAACAACAGAATGCATTTTTCTAACTCTGTCTTCTGGTTCTCGTTCTCTCTCCCCTGGTGACCTAGGGAGGCATCTAAGTCTTAGGACATCAACTGCTTTACCGTAACGGTCATCTGTTGGTTTTTACTTTGCAGACACGTCAGACACAGAGTAAGCAGCAAAGGAAGAACCTAACAGTGTTGAAGGCTCAGATGTTAGGTCTTTGGCAGAGCTATGCAGAGAATCAAAATCTCATAAATTCCCAGATTCAAGCATTCCCATTAAAAGAGGAGAACCAAATTCTTTTCCTATAGTAATACATTAACAAAGGTAAAGAGCCCACTGCAGCTATAGTCTCTACCTCTAGTTCAGGAAAAGAAGCAAAAAGACCTATTTCTTCCTTTTCCTTTTTCCCCTAGACCGCAAAGAACAGAAAGGTGAACAGACTGAAAGTGCAGACTGTCCCTGGGACAGGCTCTGTGCACACCCATACCTGTAGAGGAAAGACCCCTTCCCAAAACAGTATAAATAATCAAAGTAATGTTAATTCACCTGCCATAGTTCAGCACAGGACAGTCAGAAGGTATTACTACCTTGCCTCATCCAAAATAAAGGACATTATTAGCAGAAGAACTCATAGATCAATGAAAGAGAATATAGTAAGGCAACATAAGTTTTAAGAACATTAATGAAATTCACCAAAGTAATTCCTCCATTTATAATAGCGCCACAATTAAGCTATTACCATACTGTCTGAGACAAGAGAGATAATACTTTTGTTGGGCTCACTCCCAAAATCTGGGCAGAAACCAAGCCAGCCTCATAATCACTAAGTTCAGCTTCCCATTAGGAAAATAACACGTAAAAATGAACACAGAGATGATAGAAATAAAACTTCGAAGGTGGAAACTGACTTTATTACTGTTAAATCATATGAATAATTTCTAATTGATTTGTATTGGGCCGGCATCTTATATTCCAGAACCATGTTCAACTATTTATCACAATATTCTATATGACATATGGAAACTAATACATTTCTTCATTAATATTTACGGTCTTTCTCTAGTTATGGCTCAGAGATATTTAGCATTCTAAAACATAAGCACTGATAATTACATGTTTTACATTTTACTCTAATTTTTAACACTGCCAAGATTATTTAGTATAACTAACTTTTTAACTATGTACTCTTTTCTCTCTAACCATTAGCATATCAATCAAATTTGCATTATTCTGGTTTGCTCGTTTTATTAAAAGCGAACTCAGGGCACAATTGACTTTTCATTTGTTTAACAAGTGAAGAAATATTTACCCTGACAGCCATTGCGTTGTAGAGATTCATCTTCATAGTACAAAATTCTAACTGTGAATCAAGAAAAAAAAAGATGGCATATATTTCAGTTACACAAAGACAGTGCAGCCTATTTTTACATATAAAAGATAAGAATCTTTATACATAATACATAATAAGAGTTCTAGGCTTAGAAAAATGAAATCAAACTTTGTATTGAAGAGATAGGCTTCCTAATACATAATGCAGGCTTAACCAGAAAAATCTATGGTAGTCAAACTAGGAGCTAATGGAGATATATGATCATAAAATGCTCTCCGCTGAGTTTGATAATCAATGGTGCTCTACTGAGAATAGAATAACAAAGCAGAAATATTCACAAGTGCTGGTGACACGTAGTATTGTATGATTTATTCACTGGGGTTCTTTTAGCCAAAACTCACAGAAACATAAAAGGAATTCATATTTCAAGACGTCTGGTTTAATGAAAAATTCAAAGAAATGCTGTCTTCAGTCGAAATCATTCAAGGATATGGATGCAGTGATGGAGCAAAATTGTGCCTTCCAACCATCTGTACAAAATGTTATGTACTTAGCTGCCTCCTGAGTAATCCTTGGGAATTTTGTTTCATTTAATATTCATTTTAACACCATAAAATCATAAATACAATGATATCATGTTACAGCAAATCCCCTGATATAGTAAAGACTTCCTGAGGTCTTGGTTTCTTTCTAGTATAGACACATTTGTCTATTAATAAACAAATCTCTGTTACACTCCATAATCGTTTAGCAATATGGCTTATTTCAATGAAAACATTGCTTTAAATGAAGTTTCTGTGTCTGTTATATCTTTCAGTCAAAAATATAGAATTAACATAATTCATGACAGTACAATAAACAGTAAGGGCAATGAAATATATATTTTTAACACAAAATATTACTAGATCCATTCTTATTCAATCAAAATGCATTGACTGATATAACTTGAGCTCAGGTAATCGGTGTTATGTTTAGGTAAAAATCAGAGACAAGTGCCTTAACCATTTATATAGGGGTTTTCGTCCCTGCAACACACAAAAATTCATACAGAGGTTTTCACTGTAATTAGTATTGTTTGAATTGCCTGGTCTGATCCAAAGCAAATTGTCTGTGGAGAGCAGCAGGCCTGGATTATTTATCAACAGTCTGAGCAATTAAGAACCAGTTGGCTGCAATATGTTATTTACAAATGAACACAATGATGTTGCTTTACTTTAAATTCTCTTTCTTCATCATAGCAAGCAAGGCATAATTCTTGGTGTTTGAGGTGAATTTAAAAGATTTACTTTAATACCATATTTCCTCAAGTCACATCGAGGCAGATGAAACCACTAAATGTTTTATTACAGAAGAAACATTAAAATTTACATTTTTGAGAAAGTGTGGGTTCAGAAAAAGGTAATGTTTCTTAGCTTTATTATACGGCTGTTCAGTTAGCGGCACGGAGTGTGTGTGAGCTCTCCAGCTACAGAACCGAGTTCAGTTCTGGATGTTGCTTTTACCAGCTGTGTGGCTCTGAACAAGTTCCTTAAAGTCTGCCGGTCGTGGCTCCCAGGCTCACAAAATGGAACAGTACATATTCCACAGAGTTCGGTGAAGATTAAAATGAGATAAAATATTTAAGGTGCTTAGGACACAGTTGATGATAATTAGAGAAGAGATTTTCACTGGTGCTACTACACATTTTGTATCAAAAAGTATGTTTAACAATAAGTAAAATTCCAAAAGTAAGAAGTTAAATTTTATTCTGAACAAAGAGAAAAAAACAGAGCTAGCTTTATAGTGTAAGCATTCTGAATTTTATAGTTAAAAGGTGGAATAGCACTTTGATTCCCATGTACCATTCTCATTTGAACCACTAACCGATATTAAATGTATTTGCTTTGAAAAGTAAAAATAATACACGTGCGAAAAGTAGAGCATGATCTCGATTATAAGAGGTACCAAGAATAGTCAAACCCACAGAGACCGAAAGGAGAATAGCAGTTACCCAGCAGTTAAAGGGAGCAGGGAGCTATTGCTAAATGGGTACAGAGTTTCCAGTTGAGATTGAGGAACAATTTTGGAGATGGGTGGTGATGATAGTTGCATAAAACATGTAAATATACCTAATACCACTAAATAATAAATAATAGTACAGTTAAAAACGGTAAAAATAGTAAATGTCATGCTATGTGCATTTTACCACAATTTAAAAAAAAAAAACACTAACAAGGGGCGCCTGGATGGCTCAGTCGGTTGGGCGTCCGACTTCAGCTCAGGTCATGATTTTGCGGTTGGCGGGTTTGAGCCCCGCATCGGGCTCTGTGCTGGCCGCTAGGAGTCTGAAGCCTGCTTCTGATTCTGTCTCCCTCTCTCTCTCTGCCCCTCCCCCGTTCGTGCTCTGCCTCTCTCAAAAATAAACATTAAAAAAAAGGTTAAAAAAATAAAATAAAAAACACTAACAACAAACATTGGTGGAGGTGAATTGTTCATTTCCATGAGCTATCTATGAGACACAGACACTTTAAAACTTTGTAAAATTTATTTCATCTAAGTCTTTTTATTTCCATTCTGAGCAATGATAACTGTTTGTTATACTAGTGTTTGTTCTTTGGATTACATGAAGTAGTTAAAAATATAAACATACCAAAGGTCTTATTCCTAATATTATTTTTTAGAATTGTTCTAGAAATTTGTTTTTTTTCCATTCCATTTAGTTGGATAAGCAGAGTATCCTAGCCACTAAATATTAATAACATATCCAAGAATGACAAGTTACTGTAATTTCTCAGCAGACAAAAGTCTTAAAATTTTTCTTACTATTTATTAATTTCCCATTTTATCATTAAGGTACAAGTCTACTAAGACTGGGCTGAAAATCAGGCATAAATGGTGTTAGTTCCTTGTAATGAAAATATGATGTTCAATTTTAGATGTTTCCCCAAATGTTTGTTGAAGAAACAAGAAAATGGGAGGGGGGGAAGAAAGAGAGAAAGAAGGCTAAACAGAATTGATATGTTGCATTTATAACAGATAGAGCAAGAAGAATTTCTGGGATTAAAAACAGCATTTCAATACTAAATCAACTATCTGTTAGCTGTATGGCCTTTGCCATGTGATCCAGCTCAATTTTTAGAAGGCTTCTGAAAGAAAAAAAAAAATTTTTGGAGGATGTATCCTTTTTAAAAACACAATTTTCTGAGCAGTTAATATCCATGTGAATCTTTTGGACAGGGCTGCTATTCAGTGGGATTGGATCATAATTACCGATGGAGCATGTTTCATATTTTGAGTTTCTCTCTTTATTTCTTTTTTCTATCAGGTGAATTACAATGGGAGGGTGATTGGGGACAAATGAGAACCACTCTCTTAGAGGCCAAGTGATATTCAAACCTCACCACAATCAGGTCCCAATTTTTTCCCCCAATTATCTCTCACCACTCCATTCCTTTAAAGCTCATTCTGATCCAATTACTATTTTTATTTCTTCACCTCCATGCCCATAGTAGTCCCCTTGCCCAAAATGTCTTATCATTCTTTGCTAGCTGTCCAAATCCTATCTCTCCTGTTTTTCTTGCAAGCATTTATAGGACAAACTATCTTTTCTCGCCCACTCCAAGTGCCATCAACTGGAGGAAGCTGGCGTTCTCCTAGTTCCAAAGCATACTTTCACAAACCAGTAAAAAGGACTCCTTTAAAAAGGACAGCAACAGGGGTGCCTGATTGGCTCAGTTGGTTGAGCATCTGACTCTTGATTTCAGCTCAGGTCATGGTGTCAGGATCATGGGATTGAGCCCTGTGTAGGACTCCATACTTAGGATTCTCTGTCTCTTTCCTTCTGCCCCTTTCCCCTGTTCATGCTCTCTCTCTCTCTCTCAAAAATAATTTCTTTTTAAATGGGCAACAACAACAACAAAAACCAAAAGAACAAGAAACCTTACATCTTAATCTCAAGCTTTCCACATTTATACCCTCTATTCCTTTCTAGTGTTGTCATCCCTCAGGTCTCAGATTACTTATCCTCCATCCTTCCTCCTCCTCACCTCTCCCTGACTTACTCCAATCATCTGCTCTAAAGATTCTGACACCAAGTAATGGTCTCACCCTTCATCACAACTCCTGCCATTATCTCAAGACTTTTCAAATTCATGTGGACAGCACACTGAATTACAAAATCCCACAACCCAATTACAAAAGTCCCAATGACCAACACTTCAGTGTACCTTACATTCCTCTAACCTTGTTCCAGACCTTGTGAACTAGAAGTGTTCCCCTCTTAAGTCTTAAACTCTTAATGCCAATTCCTTTCCTTCAACTACAGTGGCTTAATTTCTCTTAAAGGTTCTTCCACCTTGATCTGTATAGATCTAGAACAGATATTTCTTGTTCCCCATTTTTAAGTTCCTCATTCACATATTTTTATATACAATGGCTATGTGGTACTTTGCTATATGGAATATACCATAAATTATTTCATATTTCCTTTATTGTTGAGTATTTAGGTTGAAAACCAAAAAAAAAAAAAAAAAAAAAAAAAAAAAAAAAGATGAGTTTCAAGGAAGAAATGGTTAATCATTTTCAAAAGCAGAACACTTTAAAAGATTTTTTTCTTAAGTTTTTTATTTCAATTCCAGTATAGATGACACATACTTATATTAGTTTCAGGTGTACAGTATACTGATTCAACAATTCTATACATAACTCAGTGCCACCAAGACAAGCTCACTCCTTAATCCCCTTCGCCTATTTCAATCATCCCCCTACCCACCTCCCCTCTGGTAACTATCAGTTTGTTCTCTATACTTAAGTGTGTTTCTTGGTTTGTCTCTCTCTCTCTTTTTCCCCCTTTTCTCATCAAAAGCAGAATACTTAAAACAATACATGTTTGTAATAATTTTGAGTAATACATCTATATAAACTTGACCAGATCAACTGGGTTTATTTGTTCGACTGGGCAGTACAAAGGAAAAATTTGCCTTAAAGTGATGACAATGGAACTTTTAGAAGCTATGCACATATGGATAACAGATCTGATGAGCCTGAGCCTT